TGAAGGGTTTCTGAAAGCTCATTCAGACATGAAGATGACACGGCAGCAGGTTCACGGAAAGGACCGTGTGTCTAAGATGAAGTCTTTCTGCAGATTCACAGCTGCTGGGGGAGCGACTTCCTCTTTTCATTTTCACTCCTTTCCTGTCTCATTCTGCATTGCTAACAGAAAATTGGCACTATGACGTCAGCCCTGCTAAACACGTAAATGAAAAAAAAAAGCTACAGCAAGAGTCAGAGTAAAAATAGTACAATGGCTGTATGTACTTTAGACAAATTAGAAGCTAGGAGAGAGTCAGGCAGAGTCACATGTGGTGTTTCTATAGAAACTCAAGGGTGGGCTAAGTATTATGGGATGGTCATCCGCTGTGAATGGGATCTATTAGGTTACAGCTGAAGTAAAGTCTTTAAATAAAACAATGATCATTATTTAATCAAAGCTGTTCTGATCTGTTGAAACACATTACCTGCAACCTTTAATGCTAGTTTTAAACTAAAACAATCTTTTGATAACAAGTAACTAAGTTGTAGCCGATTTATGTAGTTAAATTTTACTGTAAATAATATTCACACTCTCACTTAACAAGATCTTACAAGACATGACAGTAACTGGAGTATGTGTTGTGAATCACTTATCTACAATCACACTTAGATTATAGCTGTAAAAACTGATTAAAATGTGGTCCCTTTCGTGTTTCCTAAGTTTAGTTGGCTCATCAGAATCGCAATTCTCATTTACAAAGATTCAGAATTGGTTTAACATGTCCCAAAATCAAATTTTAAAAGTTAAAAACATTGAGCAAATCCAATGGCTGTCAGCCTCCATTTTGTAACTACATGGGACATCCTGATGGGAACGTATGCATGCAGAGAAAGCACCAAAATAAAGAGGAAACTACAAAACTGGAGGAAAGACAGATTTAGCTGGCTTCATCGAATGCAAAGTTTTGGGCTCATTTTGGTTTTTACCGAATGAGTCTGAGTTTGACTTGAGCTTCAGAGTGTGCAAAATTTGCAAAATGAAACACTTTGGGAACATGAAAAATGGGCTCATATTACCAGTTTTGAATGAAAAATCGATTTTGAATCAAATCGTGGCCCCAAAAATCAGAATCAAATTGTGAGAGTAAAAGAYTCCCACCCCTAGTACCAACACATATTCAGTTGTCAGTTCATTTTGTGAGTTTTGTTAAAATTTGTCAAGTGGTTCAGATAAAGTCAACTCAAAATCATTAATGGTAAAACTTTAAATATAAACCTTGAGCAATCTGTTGCTCAAAAATATGTGTTGGAGATTAARTCTCAGTAACTACCACACCAAATTTGAGCTGTATTTCTATACAAACTGACTGAGTTATAGATGTATTTTGTGTTTTAATGTCCTTTGGATGAACAAACACCTTAAAAAATTGATTGTAAAAGTCAATTAGTTCTTTAGTTCTTTATCCAGTGATTACTTCCTAAAAGTTGTATTAAAATCCATTCAAATGTTCATACAATATTTTTCTAACAGACACACAAAGACATATGGAAAACCATTAACATCTGCCTTCATCTTCCTGTAGCAGATGGTAATGAAGTCCATTTTTATCCTYGTTTCCATTTGTTTAACAAACAGAATATACTGTATGGTAAACTCAGTTGATCACATGTGGCTCATTATCTGTGGGCACTACTGATGACCTAAAACAAAAGCAATAACACTGCCAATRGAAAATGTGCTCTTTCTGAAATAAGATAAATAAAAGTGATGGAGAGGGTCAAATAACTGTAATTACTTTGTGATGGGAGATGAATGGCAATGCTGCCAAGAAATGTTCCGGTTCTTGGAAACCATWATTTTCAGCAGCAGTACAGGATGCAGTGACATTATGACTCACAGTTTTTATTTGTCATTAACATTAACAGATGTGTCAGAAKAAAAGAACCCAGAACTGGAAATTAAAGGTGGAAATATCTATTAAAAATAAGGGAACGTTATAGAATATGTTGCGTGGACATGACCAAATGATTCTGGGATTTTGAGGTGTTATTTTTACATTTTGCCATCTACAGAAAATGAGACTATTTTGGCCACTGCTGCCACCTGTAGTGTTGTGATGTGACATGATGAGGAAGAACATTACAGTCAAGTCTGCAGGTATCCAGAAATAAAAATGCTTATTACTAAAYGGGAAACTTTCAGCAGAACATAATTCAAACTGTATCCACAGACATAAATCAACTTGATACAGCTCAATGAAATAAACCTTCAGCTCTTGTGAAGTGTCTAAAGTACATCTGCATGTCTTACTATGGGATAGGATAAGCAAAGAAAATCTGCAAAATATGATTTTAGGTGTATTTTACAAAAATATGCCAATACAGACARATTAGTTGCTACCCTTAAAGAAAATATGCTTTGCAACATAGTGCCATTTCAAACTAATTGTTTGAGTTTAATTAGTATCACAGCCTTTAAGTTTTTCCATCAGACATTAAAGGAAGCTGGGTCTGGTCGAGTTCAGCACACTGAACATGGAGCAGGAAAACCAAAGATCTGTCAGAGGAGCTCAGGAAGAAGATTATAGACGTTAAAGGAAATGACTACATCTCTAAGCAGCTTCATGTTCCTCTAAAAGCAGCTGACAAGATTATTAAAAAGTAGAAGGTTCACAGGACTGTGGSCAACCTCCCAGGATATAGACGCAAGTGCCACTGCAACCCTAAGTTAATCAGACAAAAAGTGTGGATGGTAGAAAAAGTGGGCTCCATGGAAAAAGATCCAAGTAGCATGGAACCAGATTCTTACAGGCATCATAAAAAGACATAGAACCATGTTTTTCCTCACTGTCTGACATCAAATCAGATTAAATCCTGCCTGTTTTAGGTCAGCAAGMTTTCCCAAAATCATTTTTATTTTTTACATGACCAAATATATTTTAAATAATGTTTTAATTCCTTTCTTCAAATGCACAAGTTTCCATAGCCTAAAATAACCACGTCTTAAAATAATATGTAAAGCCCAGATGATGTCATGGCTTTGAAGGCTTTTGGTTGGTTAGTTGACAACATTTAAGTCAATTGGAGGTACCTGCACACCTCAAACATAAAAAACACATGTAAAGCAGCAGCCAAGACATCAGGAATGGAAATGTTGACTTCCACAACTCTGGTTCATCATTATGTACAATTTTCAGATACCTGAGGGTGCCACATTCATCTGTTTTAAAGAATTATACAGCTCCATGGAAACGTCCTGCCATCATACTGTACTGCTCAGGAAGGAGACAGCTTGAAATGTTGCATCAACCCCAAAACAAAAGCAAAAAAGGTTGTGAAGATGCTGCTGAAGCTGCTCTGTCATTTTTCACAGRGAAACAAGTCCTGGACCAACATGGACTGAAATAACACTCTGTGAGTAAGAAGACATTACTCCCAAAGCAACATACAAAAAACAGATAACAGATTATGAATATACTAAACAGAGGCAAAGGCACCAATTCGTGAACACGTCCTGTAGTCTGAGCCTCCAGATCTAAGAACATCATCCTAACTGTGAARTACAGGGGTGGCAGCATCATGATGTGGGGTGACTTACTGCARGAGGGACTGACACAAAATATATGTCATTATGAGGACAGACCATTGTGTGGACTGACTAAATCAACACTTCAAGACACCAGTCAGGAARTTAAAGCTTGGACTCAAATGAGTCTTCAGATGTACAACAACCCTCAGCAGACTGACATTGGTTACAGAAGGACAACAAAATCAATGTTTGGAGTGGACATGGGACGGCTGTGGCAGGGTGGTCAGGGCAGTCGTCCTGGAACCGGAAGGTTGGCGGTTCTATCCCYCRTCCAGCTGTCTCAGTTGTTGTGTCCTTGGGCAAGACACTTCACCCCTAATGCCTCTGATGTGTGTCCCATCAGTGTATGAATGTGATTGGTACTGATTAGTCTCCATAGATGATTGTGCTTTGTGGGAGATCTGATAGAGTGCTGTGTGAATGGGTAAATGAGGACACAGATTGTAGTGTAAAGAAAAGCGCTATACAAGTACASTCCATTTACYATTTACATCTCAAAGTCTGGATCTATAGATCCAACAGAAAATTGTTGAGTGAGCAAGGTGGTCTACGGTCCTGACGCAGTTCTGTCAGGAGCAAACTTAAGTAAAAAGCTGTGGAACGAAAGCCAAAMAAACATTTTAAAGGCAACAAAACCAAATACTATGAAAATGAAAGTAAACTTGGGACTTTAAATAAGTGTATTAAAACTCAAAACAACTCTCTTAGTTTCTGGGTGTTTAATAAATAGAARTACTTTTGGGAATCCAAACTGACCTAAAACAAAGTATTTAGTCTGGTTTAACGTCAGACTATGTAAACATCTGGGAAAGCAAAATACATGTATACGCAGATGTATTTCACTTACATACAGCTAAACTCAGATATTTTGCTAACAGAGGAACATTACTGAATCAACATTTAATGCTCAAGCTAAGCAAAGATCTTGTGTTATGAGTAGCCAAGGTAATGTTACTTACAATTTTAGSTCAATATTTGTGAATTTGACTGAATTGTAGCAATTTTTACGTTTTCTAAGGTTATTTGGTTTTGGTAGCCATCTTGAACCAAGCTGACTCCAAAGTTGTAGATGTACATCTAATGATTAAACTATGAGAGCTTCATTAAAATGTATTCAGTGATTCACAGGATATTTTGCTAACAGACRCACAAAGACACAAGCAAAAACTTTATCGCTCTGCCTTAAGCTTTGAGTGGAGGRTGATAATCATGTGTAAACTACATCTCCAAGACACTGTAGCAGCTCTTCATGCTGATAATTCAAACTCTCCTAATGAAACTGACTGCTTCACCTCCACATATACTTTTACCCTGCAGGTAAAGCATCTGCATGCTCTCCAAACACATCCACAGCAAAAACAGATGAATGCATCTCATCTCATCGCAGCCTCCYACTTAACCCCACCTCTACCTTCTCTGAGATGACTCACCAGCGGTGGGCATGGCAGCACCAGAGCCCCTGCTCAGGAGCTCCAGTGGCTGGTGACGGCCGTCTGTGCTGGCAGAGGAGAAACACGACTCGGTCTCATAGATGGTCTGCAACATGGCGCACAATCCTGACACTGTGGGATGTAACAGCATGCCAAGACAAAAGCTGCTGCTTAAAGTTTGTCAAGAAAAAAAAGGAAAATAATAACTGACTCGGCTCCTCTTSACAGATGTCAGATGTCTCAGGAAGGACTGAAAACACGGAGCTGACTAAAGTGTCTGTGCTTCAAACAGAAACTAAAACGGTAAAACCTACAAAAAAAGCCCCAAACAAACTCCACGAGTGTGCTTTTATTGTCCGTTCAGTCTGAGGTGTGTTGACCAGCCACCATCACCTCTTCGTCATTGTAGCTGCCAGTTCCAGGAAGTCCTCTCTGTGATGAGATTGAGGGATTGAGTCAAAGTAAATGAGGAAATACAGGCTTGTGTGGCTCACCCTGAGTCCTGGAGCATGAACTCTACTGGCTCCTGAAATAGTAACAGAGGCTGTGACTCGCCGTTCCAGACGAGAAAGTTTCTTTTGGTGCAGTGAGGATGATGCAGGGTCGTTCCCAAGCAGACGCAAAAAGCAAAATCACAACTGTGAGGGAGTTAGTCGGTGAGCCGCTGCTGAAAAGCTGCAGCACCCAAAAACAAAAACACCCCCCACCCCCCCTTGCCTTTGGGACATCAAAAGATCCTCTTGCTGTTCTCCTCCTGGTCAACAAGAGGGAGCGACGGAGAAGGAGTAGGAAGAGAAGCAAGGACGTAAATAGCTTGGGGAGAGAGCTCCCCGAGGTTCCATGTTTCTAAAATTAGAACGAAGCGCTGAGAGAATGTCAGCGAGACGCAGAAGAAGAGGAAGGCTGGAGAGGACGAGCGCTGACTGTCGAATCCTGCTGGAAAAAGAAACAGCAGCTCTATCGCCCAGTCCGTCCTCAAAACGCAACTCCTGGAAACCCAAACAGAGGGGCTCTGTGCGGCAGACTGAACCAGCTGCCGGTCAGATGGCTGACATTAATCGTTTCAGAGCTGCTGACATGTCCACGGCTCTGTTTCTGTGACGCTCTGAGCTGCTGAATGAATGGTGAGAGAGAGAGAGAGAGAGAGAGAGAGAGAGAGAGAGAGAGAGAGAGAGAGAGAGGGAGAGAGAGAGTGTGACTGTGG